TTAACTCAAATTTAACTTCGTTTTGTAAATTTTATCAACCAAAAGAATTTCATAAATATAAATAAAATTATCAGTGAACTGCCTGAGATAGATAGATAGATAGATAGATAGATAGATAGATAGATAGATAGATAGATAGATAGACAGACAGACAAATGTTAATCGAATGTGACAGTCAGAAACAGAATGAGATAGATAGATAGATAGATAGATAGATAGATAGATAGATAGATAGATAGATAGATAGATATTACCAGAATGCGATAGATAGATAGATAGATAGATAGATAGATAGATAGATAGATAGATAGATAGATAGATAGGCAGGCAAGCTGCGGATATAGGAATCAATGGTGCATGGCGACTTCTCGATCTTCAGACTTAGTGCTACTACTACTTTCGCGGGCTGTAGATATATATATATAGATCACTATGTGAATGAGGTAAGTAGAAGAAGCAGAAAACTCGATCCTCTCAGTTTTTTTCTTTATTTTAATTAAAAGATTATGCTTTTTGTCAAAACTGTAATGCTTTATTTTCCTCTTTCGAAATCCTATGTTTCATGTGGTATATCTAAAGATGCCAAGCTGAGTGGCTAGTCACATGCCTACTTCGCTGTGAGAATCATGCTGCCAAACAGCAGCAGTGTCAGCAGCAGGGTGATGTGTTTGGGGAAAGCGAGAAACCCGTGGTTGGTAAAGTTATCAAGATGTTACCAATGAAGTTACTTAGCAAGTCGATTCTAACAGATGGTAAAATTAAAAGGCCAGAAGACGGGAATAACACTGACTTAAATATCACGAAATCTAAGACGACGACGCAATAACAACAGACACCCAACCAAAACGCACGAACAATTGTAAACAACAATTTAGGAGAAAGACGTTTGGATTCTAAATCAACCATTTTTAATTTTTTTTTTTTTACTCTTTTTTTTAAATTCATCTCCTCTTTTTCTCTTACACAGTCTCTCTTTTTCCATCCATCTTCTTCACACACATTCTTTTGTGAATTTTGCTCGAAGTTTATCTGCAAAATCCATTTTAAAACATTCTTATCGCGCTATCTGAGTATCTATTTCACTGTTGCTGCAATCTATCAAGCAGGAGTCTCTTTTTCAATCTGTTCAAATGTTTGTTTGTCTGTCTGCTTTTCTGTGTCTGAGTCAGTCTAAGGCTGTTTATGTCATTCTATATCGATCTTTGTCGATTTGACTTTGATCTACGAATGTTTCATTATGCATTTTGGTCCTAGTCTGTATCGAACAATCATTTTATTTTTGTTTATACATATCGCTTGTTATATATCATTGTTCTTTCTACCTATCTATCATCATTGTTTCTATCTATCTATCTATCTATCTATCTATCTATATATATATATATATATATATATATATATACATACTTAGATAGATAGATAGATAGATAGATAGATAGATAGATAGATAGATAGATGTGTATTTGGCCAGCAAATCCTCTTTTATACAAATTTCATAAAAGACGACTGAAAAGGCGTTGCGATTAGCGTTTTTTTTTTTCAATCTTTCTTGCGATCGTAGAATTGTTTTCTTTAAACTCTTTTGTCCAGATAAGGAAACACATGAACACAAGAACAATTTAATAAAATGCTTAATCGCAGTACCTTATCAACTGACTTTAAATGAAACTTGTATAATATATATGTAGACATACAGATACACACATATATATAGGCCTCGTATTTTAATTGACCTCCAGATTTTTAAAGTTATACACACACACACACACACACACACACACACACACACACACACATACATACATATATATATATATATATATATATATATATATATACTTGCACATACATACATGGCAATCTGGCCATCTATCTCATTGAAATCATATCTCTCTCTCTCTCTCTCTCTATATATATATATATATATATATATATACATATATATATATATATATATGTATGTATGTATGTATGTATGTATGCATGTATGAATACATGTTTGCCAATATGTTCATATCTGTCACTCTTCTTATTAAACGTATATATATATTTTTCTCTCTCTTTCTCTCTCTCTCTCTCTCTCTCTCTCTATATATATATATATATATATATATATATATATCAATCTGTTCATATTTTTCTCATATCCTAATGGCAATCTGTTCATATCTATCTTTTTACCATGTCTATCTCGCTCTATCACACATACACACACGTATATACATATTTCAGTCTGCTCTTATGTAATTGTGTGTTTTGTTCTGACCATATCTATATATCTTTCTGTCTATCAAGTTGTTCATATTTATCTATCTATCGATCACTGTTTCTTTGTATCGCAATCTTTTCAAATATTAGTCTGTCCCTATCTATTTTATTCTGTTTATCTATCTATGTCCATACAGTATTTCTGTGCAATTTCCCCCACTTGTCCACCATACACACCTGTCTGTAAATTCTTAATTTTCTTCTCTCGTCACTTTTTGTGTACGTTTGTCTCGGTCTGTTTACTTGAATCGATAAACATAAATGCGTTCACTAAAACGAAAACGCAGTGAGATCTTTAAAAAGTCGAGATCGAAAGAAAAATGGAAATCGATAGAGAGATAAACAGAATGAATTGGGGATAGACAGAACCAGAATTTGATTCACAGACATGAGAATTTTGTTTTTTATGGTTTATCAACTTTTTGCGGGTCATTTAAAGCGAGATAAACTTTTTAGACTGTAAGTATTTTTAGATAATAATGATTTACCGATACAAGTCCTACTAATTAACTCATAACTAGTGGAGCAGAGGTGGATTCCTATCTTCCCAAGTGAATATAACGAACCTGATTCTGTTTATCCATTACGCTTACCACATCTGGTATTCCCATCTAGGTACTGATCAGTCTCGACGTTGCTTAACTTCGGTGATCGGAAAGAGAAAAATAGAGAAAGAAGAGCGAATTAATAAAAAGAAAAGGAAGAAATTAATGTGGATTAAGAGAGAAAGAACTAAGTGGACATAATAAAAAAAAAACAACAGAAAAAAAAAGAATATATTTAAGAAGATTTAAAATAAAAAGGCAGTAAATATGGAAGCGGAAACAATTCTTCGAAAAAAGGATAAAACTCAGATATGAATAACGTATCCAGGTACTGGCCAGGTTGCTTAAAGCTAGAAAATGTTTTTAGATTGTAAGAATTTCTTTTTAGATAATAACGATTTAGTGATACTAATTGTTGTGGATTCCGGGATGAAATCCGGTCTCAAATGAAGGACAAACTCAGGAATGAAATATAGCAAATAAGTGTATTGACACAATAATACAATTGGTAATACGGTTAGTAGATCCAGAAATGCGATTAGTAGCAATAATAATATATATACAGTCTGGGAAATTCAGTATCGAAATATGACTTCCTTCTGAGTCTACGTGCTCGCAACTGTGACTCCTACAAAGCGGTTACCTCACACTCTCACTCTCTCACTGTATCACTGGTCTCGCTCCCGGGTATTCACTGGCAGCAGTACAAGTACACACTGGGCGAGTCCACTTGTATCAAAAGGGGTGAACCCCTTAACACTAATTAACCCATAGCTGGAGGGAGAAGATATGGATTTATACGTTTTCCAACGGTATATGCGTATAAGTGAATATAAGGAATCCAACTGTGATTAGAACTCGACTCTCTGTTTAACAATTCCAAACCATTATCTATTACACCACCGGCACATCCATGCTGGTATTCCCAAACATCTACCCATCTAGTTACTGACCAGGCTCGACTTTGTTTAACTTAGGTGATTGTACGTGAACCGGTGTTTCAACGTGATTTGACCGCAAGTTTTCGAATCGAGGCCCAAAGATTCACATTTTTTTCCCCCTCTGATCATTTTAAAAAGATTTTCGTCTTTAAATGACTGCATTTTCGAGAGGTGGATGTTGATTAAGAAAGAAAGTGTTATAGTGGAACACACCTATTCTATTGTTAATAGACTCTCCCACCTATAATAAGTAGGAATAGTAGGAGTCGCTCAGTGAGTGGGTCAGTCAGTCGATGTTGTACGACCGTTAGTCGGATACTAAAAGTATCAGCGACCACAACTAGATTTCTCTGCGTCATTACCTATTTTATCAAGTTCCTAACGTTTTGTACGTCGAACCTATTTTAGGACCGACTTACTGAAATACAAGCCTCCACTGTGAAACTACTCTACAACAGAAACAAAGAAAGAAAGAAAGAAAGAAAGAAAGAAAGAAAGAAAAGAGAAAAGAAACTTTTTTTTTTGTTCGGATGACAAATAATTATCATATCAGGTGTGTGGGAATCGCACCTGGCAGTCTTGGATGAAAAAATGTAAAGACATATTGTTTATGGATTAGTTTGTTACAACTTCTGGTAAGCTCTTTTACTGATCCTTTATTCAAACTCGTTCCTCAGTCGCACAAATTCTCCGCGTCCTTTTTTGGTTTAATTCCAATTTAAAGAAGATGCAGGTGAGAAAGCAGACAAAGAATGTTTTTAGGAATTTGACTAAATTTAATTACCTCGGATGTTATAGCGAAGGGACACAGTACGTAAATGTAGAGCCGTAAATATAGGAATTACACGAAAACTGAAACTTGTAATCAGAAAGTTAGAGCTGAAATTTTTGGGACGGATAACGAGGAAAGAAGGCTTGGAAAATTTGATACTTACGACGTATTGAAGGCAAATTAAACAGCGATTAACCAACTTAACGAGTTTAATTAATGACAGAACAAGTACAAAAAGTGATGCTAAATATAAGTTACTTTGAAAAACAAAAGGCAAGAAGTTGTGGAGAACCATGATCGCCTACTTCCTGAATGGACATGGTAGATAAAAGAAGAAGAATGCTAAATATCTGCAATAAAAACCTAGTGTTAAAGTTATTGATCTTCCAAGTGTCCATACCAAGCTTAGTATAGCAAATAGCCATAAGTAAGATTGTATTGCGCCAATCTTCCGGGTAAAAACATTATCCGAAATACTGATATTACTTTGTTCAAACAGCGATCATTGACACAGGTGGGAAACACACAATTATCTGACGGAATAAGTTATCTTTTTCATATTTATATGCCTCGGTTATTTCGGACTATTGTTCTCATCTTGGGTGGTATAGATGTTATTATAGATACGACGTTTCGGTTAAGTACCTTCTGGCCATCATCAGGTGTTCATTATTTGGATGATATCGGATATCTATTGATTATTGTAATATGGGTTTACAGCAGATACAAAATTATTGAAAAGTGGTACGAATCCACCTTGATAACCTAATGTCAAAACCATCTACGATTGAATGCTCCAAAAATACAGCATTGGTGTCTTTCAGCTTTGTGGATAGAAAAGTTGTCCAATCATGTGTTACTGTCATCTAATGGTCATGGGTTCAATCCCTGCTACCTGGATCAGGTAGTAAATTACGGGTTGGGCAGGAATGAACAATAACTGAAACCACAGGTACAAAAAAAACACAATAATCGACCGACATTGTATATCAAACAAATAATGGACATCTGATGATGACCAGAATGTAGTTGGCCGAAACGTCGTGACTATAAAAACATCTAAGATGAGGACAATAGTTCGAAATAATTAGGATAAATATGTACTCCGCAGGTATTAATTTATTTACTAATCTTAGCTTATCTGACATAAGGCCACGGGCTTCTTAGCCACTTTTGCCAATCCTTCCCTTTAGTTACAAACAGCTTTGATCATATAAATGTAGACAAGACATTAATAAGTGGAAAAATATTCTATACAAGTGAAAATAATTTATGTTTACAACTACTTGTAAAAAATTAAAAGTCTTAATACAAAACAAAATTATAATAAGTGAAAAATTGAAGTAATAATTTACTCTATTACCCGTAATAATTGCCACAAGGAATACATAGGAGAAACTTCGAGTAATTTAAATAAAGGTTTATATAAGCACAAAAAGGATATTTTACAAAACAACACACTCAGTGCATTATTGCTCACCGTAATGAGTCTAATCATAATTTTGATTTAAATAATTCAAGTTTATTTAAAAGAGAAAGAAATTTACTAAGACGAATATGTATAGAAAGTATTTTAATCGGTTCTCCAGAATAAATTTGCGTCCAGGTTCTTAAAGCATTTTATATTTCTTAGCTATTATCACAGTGTCGGATATTTAATAACAAAAATGACAAAACATAAAAAAAAAGAAATGAAATGTAATTGGCTTCACTATATACCTAAAAACATAAGAAAAAAATTTAATGTTTAAAATTTCAGCGTCGTTCCCTCCCCTTCATGTGTAGTTAAATCAACGTAAACATCTATTTAGTCCAATGAAGTCCTAAATGACATAAAGCGTCGACACACAAAAATATTTTACCCACTTTATCATTAATTTTCCTTGTTTTGGTATATAAAAAAAAATTATATATCATTTTCTCACATAGACAATGCTTTTCGAAAAAATAATT